TCAAGCAGAGGTTGAGTTCAATCATTTGTACGGCCCTCGGAGGATGTTGTAAACATTGAAAGGAAAACGGTTCCCCACCCCTGCTGTAAATAATAATAAAAACCCTTGATTTATAACTTAACATCTGTCTCCTATTGATCAGAGTACATTATACATTTGTAATCTTTGTTGCGTATTTTTCATAGTCTTATATTTCAACAGTTTTACGACTAACTGTGACTTTTTTGACATGGAAATGTTTTAAGATTGACAAGTCACGCCCATCTACTTCCGGTCCATGGGACCTTATTTCGGAAACAATTATGTATTGAAGTCAATGGAGAGAGAAAACTTATATTTCGATCCCGTTTGAATTGTGCCATGAATTACACATATGATGTTTGTCAATCTTAAAAAATCATTTCCATGTCAAAAAAGTCACAGTTTATCTTAAAACTGTTGAAATATAAGAGTATGAAAAATACGCAACTAGAAAGACTACAAATCCCAGGTGATGTCACAACTGTTTTCCTCCACTAAGAGATAGCTAAGATCAGCGCCATATAGATATAATCTATCTATATGGCGCTGGCTAAGATAAGATAACTTTAACAAGATGCCTGTGTGTTTAGTACCAGGCTGTTATCATACCAGCAATGGGTCTTGCTCGTTCTTTCGCTTCCTGTCTGATCAAAGGACCAGGAGTGGCTGGATCAAGTTAGCTACCTAGCTAGTAGCTAGCAAGTTAGTTGGCATGACAGCCTTGTCATTTTTATTAGCCTTAACATGAAGTGACATTAAGTAACCCAACATGTTAAACAATAGAGTAGTAGTCATATTTCGTGAACCCTTTGAAGAGTACTGTCACCGGTGTGATCATTCTATAATACACCATTTAAGCCCGGGGGAGAAATGCTATCGCTACATTAGCATCTGCGATCTGTTCTACTTCACGCTATCTGCACTAATGGTTGATATTAAACATTAAAAAGACCAGGCAGTTCAGAGAGAATCAAAGGAAGGCAGCTCTGCATGACGTTCTTCTGGACGTGTTTCATTGTGGTGATAGTGAGGGTGAGAGGGTGAGGGTGATGGTGAGAGGGTGATAGTGAGGGTGAGAGGGTGATAGTGAGGGGTGAGAGGGTGATAGTGATGGTGAGAGGGTGATAGTGAGGGTGATAGGGAGGGTGATAATGATGGTGAGAGGGTGATAGTGAGGGTGATAATGATGGTGAGAGGGTGATAGTGAGGGTGATAATGATGGTGAGAGGGTGATAGTGAGGGTGAGAGGGTGAGAGGGTGATAGTGAGGGTGATAGTGAGGGTGATAGTGAGGGTGATAATGATGGTGAGAGGGTGATAGTGAGGGTGATAATGATGGTGAGAGGGTGATAGTGAGGGTGATAATGATGGTGAGAGGGTGATAGTGAGGGTGATAGTGAGGGTGATAGTGATGGTGAGAGGGTGATAGTGAGGGTGAGAGGGTGATAGTGAGGGTGATAGTGAGGGTGATAGTGAGGGTGAGAGGGTGATAGTGAGGGTGAGAGGGTGATAGTGATGGTGAGAGGGTGATAGTGAGGGTGATAGTGAGGGTGAGAGGGTGATAGTGAGGGTGAGAGGGTGATAGTGAGGGGTGAGAGGGTGATAGTGAGGGTGAGAGGGTGATAGTGAGGGTGATAGTGAGGGTGAGAGGGTGATAGTGATGGTGAGAGGGTGATAGTGAGGGTGATAGTGAGAGTGAGAGGGTGATAGTGAGGGTGAGAGGGTGATAGTGATGGTGATAGTGAGGGTGAGAGGGTGATAGTGATGGTGAGAGGGTGAGAGGGTGATAGTGAGGGTGATAGTGAGGATTAGAGGGTGATAGTGAGGGTGAGAGGGGTGATAGTGAGGGTGATAGTGAGGGTGATGGTGTGATAGTGAGGGTGATAGTGAGGGTGAGAGGGTGATAGTGATGGTGAGGGGTGATAGTGAGGGTGAGAGGGTGATAGTGATGGTGAGAGGGTGATAGTGAGGGTGATAGTGAGCGTTATCGTGATGGTGAGAGGGTGATAGTGATGGTGAGAGGGTGATAGTGATGGTGAGAGGGTGATAGTGATGGTGAGAGGGTGATAGTGATGGTGAGAGGGTGATAGTGAGGGTGATAGTGAGGGTGATCGTGAGGGTGAGAGGGTGATAGTGATGGTGAGAGGGTGATAGTGAGGTGATAGGGGGTGATAGTGAGGGGGATCGTGAGGGTGAGAGGGTGATAGTGATGGTGAGAGGGTGAGAGGGTGAGAGGGTGATAGTGATGGTGAGAGGGTGATAGTGATGGTGAGAGGGTGAGAAGGTGAGAGGGTGATAGTGAGGGTGATAGTAATGGTGAGAGGGGTGAGAGGGTGATAGTGAGGATTAGAGGGTGATAGTGAGGGTGAGAGGGTGATGAGAGGGTGATAGTGAGGGTGATAGTGAGGGTGATAGTGAGGGTGAGAGGGTGATAGTGATGGTGAGGGTGATAGTGAGGGTGAGAGGGTGATAGTGATGGTGAGAGGGTGAGAGGGTGATAGTGATGGTGAGAGGGTGATAGGATGGTGAGAGGGTGAGAGGGTGATAGTGAGGGTGATAGTAATGGTGAGAGGGTGAGAGGGTGATAGTGAGGATTAGGAGAGGGTGATAGTGAGGGTGAGAGGGTGATAGTGAGGGTGATAGTGAGGGTGATAGTGAGGGTGATAGTGAGGGTGAGAGGGTGATAGTGATGGTGAGAGGGTGATAGTGAGGGTGATAGTGAGGGTGAGAGGGTGATAGTGATGGTGAGAGGGTGATAGTGAGGGTGATAGTGAGGGTGAGAGGGTGATAGTGATGGTGAGAGGGTGATGAGGGTGATAGTGAGGGTGATAGTGAGCGTTATCGTGATGGTGAGAGGGTGATAGTGATGGTGAGAGGGGTGATAGTGATGGTGAGAGGGTGATAGTGATGGTGAGAGGGTGATAGTGAGGGTGATAGTGAGTGATAGTGAGGGTGATCGTGAGGGTGAGAGGGTGATAGTGATGGTGAGAGGGTGATAGTGAGGGTGATAGTGAGGGTGATCGTGAGGGTGAGAGGGTGATAGTGATGGTGAGAGGGTGAGAGGGTGATAGTGATGGTGAGAGGGTGATAGTGATGGTGAGAGGGTGAGAGGGTGATAGTGAGGGTGATAGTAATGGTGAGAGGGTGAGAGGGTGATTGTGATGGTGTGAGGGTGATAGTGAGGGTGAGAGGGTGATAGTGAGGGTGATAGGGTGATGGTGAGAGGGTGATAGTGAGGGTGAGAGGGTGATAGTGAGGGTGATAGTGATGGTGAGAGGGTGAGAGGGTGATAGTGATGGTGTGAGGGTGATAGTGAGGGTGAGAGGGTGATAGTGAGGGTGATAGTGATGGTGATAGTGATGGTCGAGGAGGTGAGGAGGGGTGATAGTGAGGGTGATAGTGAGAGGGTGAGGGTTGATAGTGAGGGTGAAGAGGTGGGTTGATATTGAGGGTGAGGAGGGTGATAGTGATAGGTGAGAGTGAGGAGGGTGATTTGAGCTGGGTGATAGATGATGGTGAGAGGGTGAGAGGGTGAGAGGGTGATAGTGATGGTGAGAGGGTGAGAGGGTGATAGTGAGGGTGATTTTTTTTAGGTGATTGGTGAGAGGGTGAGAGGGTGATGGGTGATGTGTGATGGGTGATTGGTGATTGGTGAGGGGTGATGTGAGAGGGTGATAGTGAGGGTGATAGTGATGGTGAGAGGGTGAGAGGGTGATAGTGATGGGTGTGAGGGTGATAGTGAGGGTGAGAGGGTGGTAGTGAGGGTGATAGTGATGGTGAGAGGGTGAGAGGGTGATAGTGAGGGTGATAGTGAGGGTGTGAGGGTGAGAGGGTGATAGTGAGGGTGATAGTGAGGGTGTGAGAGGGTGATAGTGAGGGTGAGAGGGTTTTTTTGACTGGCAAAATTATCTTTTAAATTGATGTATAATTCGTGGCACAATTCAAACAGGATCCAAAGATAATCTTTCTCTCTCCATTGACTTCAATACATTATTTTTTCGAAATAAGGTCCCATGGAGCTCCACCGGAAGGGGAGGGACTTCGCCTCTCTATTGAGGAGTGAGAGTGATGCGTAGCCAGAATGCCCTGGAACCGGAAGCTGTCATACACTCTCATAGCAGCTAATATGAAATCTCCGTTATTGACATAAATATGAAGATGGATTATTATTAATATTATTATTATCATTTCAAAGTGACACATTGCATTAACCTTCAGCAGCGTTTTTATCGCTTTGATGCCATTGAAGAGAACTTTTGATCAGAAAACAGTAACGTAAGACTTATTTGCCGTTTTGGCTACCTAAAGCTACGTGGTGTGATGTCTGTACAGTATTTGCTTCTGAACGCTCAGTAATGATACTTATATGTCTGGAATCTGTGGGATCTCAGCTTGCTAATCGATATCTTGTTTGTGCAGATCCGATAAGTAATAAGGGTATTTTACCGTGAGTTCTGTGCTAAGTGCGTTAGCATTTTTTCGCTCAGGGCTAATTCAGAGCCTTGTTATTACCCTTGTGTTTCGTTTTGCTAAAAATTGTTAATATCATCTAAAAGCTGAGTTTCTTCCCGTTAAGTGTGTGTGTGTGTGTGTTGTGTGTGTGTTGTGTGTGTGTGTGTGTGTGTGTGTGTGTGGTGTGTGTGTGTGTGTGTGTGTGTGTGTGTGTGTGTGTGTGTGTGTGTGTGTGTGTGTGTGTGTGTGTTACACATGTTTCTGTGATGGCAGGGGGGGAGTAACATATATCATATTGGGTTAGGCTCTGAGGACAAAGGTGGGCGGTCAAAGATATTATGCAGGGCAGAGATTGGTTATTTGATTGGTTGGTTGGTAAATTGTTTGTTTTGTTGGGTGGTGATTGCTTTGAAAGCTTTTATGTTCTGCTGTTAGACCATCATTCTCAGTCATAACCGGTATTTATGTATTTTTGTCTCTCTGTGTCTCTGTGTGACCATGTCTCTTTGTCTCCATCAGTTCTTCAGGATGATCCAGGCACTGCTGATGTGCTTTGTGCTGTGCGTGGTGTCAGGCAGCAGTAAACCCACTGAGAGAAAGAGTCGGATCCACGATGAAGACCCTCTCAGCCGTCTGGAGCATGACGACAACAAAAACTACGACTACGACCACGAGGCCTTCCTGGGCGAGGAGGAGGCCAGAGCCTTCGAGCAGCTGCCGGCCGAGGAGAGCCGGCGCCGGCTGGGGTGAGGCGTGCACAAATATTACAATACTCTGATAAAACACACAGTAAACAATAGTAATTGTTCTTTCTGTACCCGTGCACCCGTGTACATGTCTACCTTTATACCTGTGTACCTGTGTACATGTGGACCTGTGGACCCGTGTACATGTCTACCTTTATACCTGTGTACATGTGGACCTGTGGACCCGTGTACATGTCTACCTTTATACCTGTGTACATGTGGACCTGTGGACCCGTGTACATGTGGACATGTGTACATGTGGACCTGTGGACCCGTGTACCACCTGTGTACATGTGGACCTGTGGACCTGTGTACCACCTGTGTACATGTGGACCTGTGGACCTGTGTACCACCTGTGTACATGTGTACATGTCTACCTTTATACCTGTGTACATGTGGACCCGTGTACATGTGGACCTGTGTACCACCTGTGTACATGTGGACCTGTGGACCCGTGTACCACCTGTGGACCCGTGTACATGTGGATCTGTGGACCCGTGTACATGTGGACCCGTGTATTACATTACATTTAGCTGACGCTTTTATCCAAAGCGACTTACAATAAGTGCGTTCGACCAACAAAATACAAACTTGAAGAAAACAGAATCATATAAGTACATCAGGTTTCATAGAGCCAAACATTTCAAGTGCTACTCAACTGGCTTTAGATAAGCCAGTCCTTTATTAGTATAAAAGTGCTTCGTTAATAGTTTCTATCGCTCGAAGTGGAGTCGAAAGAGATGAGTTTTCAGTTTGCGCCGGAAGATGTGCAAGCTATCTGCCGTCCTGATGTCAATGGGGAGCTCATTCCACCATCCTGGAGCCAGGACAGCAAACCCACGTGTTTTCGCCGATGGGAACTTGGGTCCCCCTCGCAGTATACATATATATATGTATATGTGTACATGTGGACCTGTGTACCCGTGTACATGTCTACCTTTATACCTGTGTACATGTGGACCTGTGGACCCGTGTACCACCTGTGTACATGTGGACCCGTGTACCACCTGTGTACATGTGGACATGTGGACCACCTGTGTACATGTGGACCTGTGGACCCGTGTACATGTGGACCTGTGGACCCGTCTACCTTTATACCTGTGTACATGTGGACCTGTGCACCCGTGTACATGTGTACATGTGGACCTGTGGACCCGTGTACATGTCTAACTTTATACCTGTGGACCTGTGGACTCGTGTACATGTGTACCTGTGGAGCGTGTACATGTGGACCTGTGGACCCGTGTACATGTGGACCTGTGGACCCGTGGAGCGTGTACATGTGGACCTGTGGACCCGTGTACATGTGGACCCGTGTACATGTGGACCTGTGGAGCCGTGTACATGTGGACCTGTGGACCCGTGTACATGTGGACCCGTGTACATGTGGACCTGTGTACATGTGGACCTGTCTACCTTTATACATGTGGACCTGTGCACCCATGTACATGTCTACCTTTATACCTGTGTACATGTGGACCTGTGGAGCGTGTACATGTGGACCTGTGGACCCATGTACATGTGTACCTGTGTACATGTGGACCCGTGTACATGTGGACCCGTGTACATGTGGACCCGTGTACATGTGGACCCGTGGAGCGTGTACATGTGGACCTGTGGACCCATGTACATGTGTACCTGTGTACATGTGGACCCGTGTACATGTGGACCTGTGGAGCCGTGTACATGTGGACCTGTGGACCCGTGTACATGTGGACCTGTATTCTTTCCTGCAGATGTGTCCTTAGTATTTCACTTCCTGTTTCTCAGAGCAAACACAGACACAGGTTGAACCGGATCAGACTGTCCACTTCACACCTGAAGCTATGTTGTCTAATATCAACAGCTGATAACTAATAAGAGTGTGTGTGTGTGTGTGTGTGTGTGTGTGTGTGTGTGTGTGTGTGTGTGTGTGTGTGTGTGTGTGTGTGTGTGTGTGTGTGTGTGTGTGTGTGTGTGTGTGTGTGTGTGTGTGTGTGGTGTAGCATCATGGTGGATAAGATGGACAGTAACACAGACGGGTTTATCTCTGAGGAGGAGCTGAAGAACTGGATCCGGATCTCTCAGAGGAGGCAGATTGTGGACAGCGTGGATCAGCAGTGGAAAGACTTCGATCTAAACCAGGACGACCAGATCAGCTGGGAGGAGTACAAGAACACCACCTACGGGAGCTACCTGGGTACATAACACACACACACGATAATGAATTGTGTTGGACGATACATGTTCCTGGAAATGATTGCGATAAAGGATAATTTTGTCGCACCGTTGTTAGACCATTTTAGACATGATGATAATATATAGTGATAATTCAAGTACATCCTTTCAAACAGAACTTTCTATTGAACATTCAACATTACAAATGAAACGTGAAATAATATTCAAATATATAAATTATATATAAAATAAATACATTTAATTATAAAATTAAATCACACACAACCAAAACAATCAATTAAATAGACTCAGGCTGGAAAACAGAGCTCTATCTATCCATCTATCTATCCATCTATCTATCCATCTCTCTATCTATCCATCCATCTATCTCTCTATGCATCTCTCCATCCATCTATCTCTCTATCTCTCCATCTATCTCTCCATCCATCTATCTCTCCATCCATCTATCCATCTCTCTATCCATCTCTCCAGGGCCGCCTTAATGCACGGGCTGACCTGGGCTGAAGCCCAGGGGCCTACGGAGATCAGGGGCCTATCATGAGCCAATAATAAAAAATAAAAAAATGTATTTCGGATGTTTTCAATTTTTTGTTAAATAAACAAAGTCTTGGCTTTCAGAATATGAAACTTTTATTTCAAAAATCACACGATAAATACAGTTTTGAAGCTTGTAAAGGGAAGAAGACAGCTCTCCCTCGCCACTCTGCTGTTCTGCTGTTCCCCTCCCTCTGCCGAAATTATGAATGTAAGGCGTAGTAATCATAGATAACACGGCAGGGTCCGTTACAGTTTGTTTTGATTTCAAATAAACAAAGTCTTGGCTTTCAGAATATTAAACTTGTTTTTCGGCAAATTCAGACGATAAATACAACTTTGAAGCTTCGGCATAATTACAAGCGGAGAACGGAGTAACTTGACGTCACAGCAGGCAAAACAACAGCCGGTGTTTCTCCTGAGGGTTTTCCCCGGGAAACACAATAAACACAAACGCAAGAATACACAAACACACACATATACACACACTCGTGAGCTTCCCTCAGACCAGTAATCCAAACGAAAATATCTTCCCTCCGTACTATTTTGATCATTTGCTCCGCTAATCAATCAGATCGATGGATTCCAGAGATGTTTCTCAAAAATGATGACAACAGTCAGCGGGCACCACTTAACAGCCAATCAGAATGAGAATATGTTTCACATGTGACTTATTCAAATTGCGAGTGACAGATGAAGGTTGTTTAGGAGAAAAAGTTTGAGAAGAAAAAGTTTTGAGAGTGGCGCTCAAATTGTTGAGGGAAAAGTAGTTTCGAGACAAGCAGCTATTACAAAACATGCCGAAGCTTACAGGTTATTTTAAACCTGTAGGCCAGGATGAGGAGGAAGGACAGATGAGTTCTGTACCGAGCGGCAGCGGTGCCGGCCTCGGAGCCAAGTAGGCCGTCTGGTTCTGATGGCGATGGAGTAGCGGGAGAGGAAAAACAGACAGGAGGGATGTTGGAGGAGATGGAGAGGACAACGAGGACTTGCTACGTGGAGGGGAGCCAACGGCAATACATGAGGGAGGCCCGATACGTCACTCATCTGGAGGAGAGGACCAGGCGCGCGTGGAGCAGAGTGGAGAAGTGCGATCACAGAGCCTGCCGAGGAAATGACTTTGATTTGTTGTTTAAATAGGGGGGCCTACAAAACCCCAGGGCCTGATGGCAGGTTAAGGCGGGCTTGTCTCTATCTCTCTATCCATCTCTCTATCTATCACATTACATTACATTGCATTTAGCTGACGCTTTTATCCAAAGCGACGTACAATAAGTGCGTTCGACCAACAAAATACAAACTTGAAGAAAATAGAATCATAAAGTACATCAGGTTTCATAGAGCCAAACATTTCAAGTGCTACTCAACTGGCTTTAGATAAGCCAGCCCTTTATTAGTATATAAGTGCTTTGTTAATAGTTCTATCGCTGGAAGTGGAGTCGAAAGAGATGAGTTTTCAGTCTGGAAGATGTGTAAGCTATCTGCCGTCCTGATGTCAATGGGGAGCTCATTCCACCATCTTGGAGCCAGGATAGCAAACCCACGTGTTTTTGCTGATGGGAACTTGGGTCCCCTTCGCAGTGCGGGTGCAGCAAGCCGTTTGGCTGATGCAGAGCGTAGTGCACGTGCTGGGGTGTACAGTTTAACCATGTCCTGGATGTAGGAAGGGCCAGATCCATTCGCAGCATGGTGCGCAAGTACCAGTGTCTTGAAGTGGATTCTAGCAGTTACCGGAAGCCAGTGGAGGGAGCGGAGGAGCGGCGTGGTGTGGGAGAATTTAGGAAGGTTGAAGACCAGACGAGCCGCTGCATTCTGGATGAGCTGCAGAGGTCGGATGGCACATGCAGGTAGACCAGCCAGGAGGGAGTTGCAGTAGTCTAGGCGTGAGATGACGAGAGCCTGGACCAGAACCTGCGTGGCTTTCTGGGTCAGCTGGGGACGTATCCTCCTGATGTTGTAAAGCGTGTATCTGCAGCAACGGGTTGTAGCAGCGATGTTTGCAGTGAAGGACAGGTTGTCATCTAGGGTCACACCCAGATTCCTTGCAGTCTGAGTCGGGGAAACAACTGAGGTGCCGATGTTGATTGTTAGGTCAAGAGTGGGACAATCTTTTCCCGGAAGGAAAAGCAGTTCAGTCTTGTCAAGGTTGAGCTTGAGGTGATGATCAGACATCCACTGAGAGATGTCAGCTAGACAAGCAGAGATGCGTGCGACGACCTGGGTCTCTGAGCGGGGGAAGGACAGAATTCATTGGGTGTCGTCAGCGTAGCAGTGGTATGAAAAACCATGCGGGCTAATGACTGATCCGAGCGAGTTTGTGTACAAGGAGAAGAGGAGGGGACCAAGAACAGAGCCCTGAGGGACCCCTGTAGTTAATTGACAAGGGTCGGACTCGGACCCTCTCCAAGTTACCCTGTAGGTACGGTCTTTGAGGTATGAGGTGAGGAGGGAAAGTGCAGAGCCTGAAACTTCAAGTTCTTGGAGAGTGTGAAGGAGGATCTGATGATTCACCGTGTCGAATGCAGCAGACAGGTCCAACAGGATGATGACAGAGGAGAGGGAGGCTGCTTTAGCAGTGTGCAGTTCCTCAGAGACAGCAATGAGGGCAGTTTCTGTGGAGTGACCTGCCTTGAAACCAGACTAGTGCGGATCCAGAAGGTTGTTCTGATTGAGATAACAGGAGAGTTGTTTAAAAACAGCGCGTTCAAGTGTTTTAGACAGGAACGGGAGGAGAGAGACACGCCTGTAGTTTATAACATCAGACGGGTTGAGAGTGGGTTTCTTTAGGAGAGGGTTTAGTCTTGCCTCCTTGAGACTGTTTGGAAAGTGACCAGAAGTAACGGCCCGTCCACACTCCAGCTTCAAAAAAAGCTTGGAGCTGGGCGTGTCTGAAGCTCGACCAACAACCAATCACATGAATCTCCCGCCCCTGACACACAAGCAGCGGTTTGATTGGCTAGAGCTTGTACTGGCATATGATTTGATTGGCTGACGCTTCCACCGAAAGCTTCAGAAGCTTCAAAAGTTGAACATTGCTCAACTTTTGCAGCCTGAAACGCCAGGAAAGCTCCGCTCTGCTTCCCACAATGCAGTTCGGCAAAAAGTGACGTCACCCCATTCAAAGTGAATGGGCAGACGCGTTGGAAACCGTTTTTGAAGCTGTCGTAGCTGTAGTGTGGACGGGCCGTTAGAGAAGTGTTGATGAAATGGGTGAGAAACGGTAGAATATCAGGAGCGATAGTCTGAAGGAGGTTTGAAGGGATAGGGTCCAGAGGACAGGTGGTAGGGCGGGCAGAGGTAATGAGGGTAAGAACCTCACTTGGAGAGAGAGGGGAAAAGGAGGTTAGTGTGTTGGTGGAAGGAGGGTCTGGTGACCCAGCGGTGAGTAAAGGTGAGTCAGAAAAAGAAGAGCGAATATCATCAACCTTTTTTTCAAAGTGGTTAACAAAGTCGCTTGACAGAAGTGAGGAGGGGGGAGGGGCTTTGGAGGGTCCAAGAGGGAGGAGGGGTAAGGGTCTTTGGGGGGGTCCAAGAGGGAGGAGGGGTAAGGGTCTTTGGGGGGGTCCAAGAGGGAGGAGGGGGAAGGGGCTTTGGGAGGGTCCAAGAGGGAGGAGGGGGAAGGGGCTTTGGGGGGGTCCAGGAGGGAGGAGAAGATGGAAAATAGTTTTTTGGGATTGGAATAGGAAGATTGGATCTTATCTTGAAAGAAAGTGCTTTTTGCCTGAGAGATCGAAGCAGAGAAGAGGAGAGGAGAGCCTGATAGGTTAGGAGGTCATCATGTAGTTTGGATTTCCGTCGTTTCCGCTCTGCTGCCCGAAGGACGGTTCTATTAGCACGCAGTGCATCATTTAGCCAGGGAGCAGGAGGGGACTGATGAGCCCGCCGAGATGTGAGAGGACAGAGAGAGTCCAGAGAGGATGAGAGAGTAGAGAGGAGAGTTTCTGCAGCAGAGTTTGTAGGTAGGAGTTGGAACGAGTCAGAGGAAGGGAGGGCTGAGAGCACCGATGAGGCAAAGGTAGAGGGGGAGAGGGAACAAAGGTTACGGCGGACAGGTGCAGGATGGGAAGAGATTAGTTCGTTATGTTTGGAAAGGGGTAGAGAGAATGAAATGAAGAAGTGATCGGATGTGTGGAGCGGCTTTACAGAGAGGTTAGAAGTAGAGCAGGTCCTTGAGAATATGAGATCAAGGACATTGCCAGCTTTATGAGTTGGTGGGGACGGAGACAGTGAGAAAGCAAAGGCGGTTAACAGAGATGTTAGTTTGTCTATCTTCCCTGTCTGGAGGTTGAAGTCTCAGAGAAGTACAGCGGGAGGGCCAGTTTCAGGGATGTGTGAGAGGAGATGATCTAATTCCTCCAAGAAGTCCCCCAAGGCGCCTGGTGGACGGTAGAGAACAACAATGGTTAACTGTATAGGATGGGTTACTGTGACGGCATGGAATTCAAAGGTGGAAGGAGTGAAGTTAGG